TGATATCTAGATTGTAAGTCTATTTTAGAGATTATCGTCGCCCCTTGTAATTGGTCAAATAAATCATTAATCTCGGATAATGGGTACTTATTTTTAACGATCACCCGGTTTAGTTCTCGATAGTCGATACATAGTCTTAGACTTTCATCCTTCTTTTCACGAACGATGCTCGGAGCTCCCCAAGGTGAGGGACTAGGACGTATAAAGTCCTTGTCCGGTAAGTCCCGTAACTACACCTTCAACTCTTTTAGCTCGGCGAGAGCCATTCTATAGGGGTTTTGAAATCGAAGCCGTACCCGACTCTAGTTCAATCTCAAACTCAATCTCCCTCTCGGTGGTAGCGTGGTCAAACTCTCCGAAAACACATCTATATATTCCCGTATAATCTTGATATATACATTAAGTTCACATTAGTTTTAGTACGGATTTTAGTATTTAATGCTAATCATTCATGCTCCTATGAAATTATACATTTTTATACATAGTAAGCATCTCATACACATCTTTACTAGGTTTTCGTGTTATATTGAAAATTAAAAGCACTCCTATTTACATTATAGAACATACAAAAGACACCACATCATGTGATGAGATCCATATTAACTTATTTATCGGACACGTCGAGGAAAAGAACCCTCTAGTAACCATCGATCAATGCGGTTTTTCATTACCGTATGGACTATCTCACGAGCAATGGGTAAGGGTAGTCCCTATCCATACATCGGTCGAATGAGGGATCGTTTAGCTTGGGTTGGTAAAAAGGTCCGAATTAGAGCCCGATAAGAGTGTTAGTCTATCATGTCTTCCCAAACTTCGTGTAACAATCGTTGGTCTCTCGATGGGAGAGTCCGATGTAGAGTTATCCGAAGAAAGTTCGAGCTAAAATATCGGTTAAAGGAAGCATCGACGAATGCGAGTCGCAACCATAGTGGGATTATTTAGCTTGGCCCTAAACGCAGCTAGCGATGTCCGTCGCCATCGCGTTCTAGGCACGCTTGATACTCAATACAAAGCCGGCATCTACGAGTGATAGGGTTTGTTGTTATTAATAATTTCAAATGAAATTTTATACATATAACATAATAAAAACATACATAGTTTAAGAGAACCCGAAATTAAAATTACCTATCCAGGAGCGAGATCGATTCTCGGGCTCATGTGGCACTTACGGTTCTACCTAACTCCCTAAACCATTGCTTTAATACCATACTATAACGCTCCCGCCCTGATCATATTTCTATTAGTCAAGTAGGGTACCGAAAGAAGCGTGTTAAGCTAAACTCTAAATAGTTCTCTTATGATATTCTTAAAACTTTAGCAAGACATTACGTATATAACTCCTTAAGATAAAATTTACATAACATAATTAAATACATTAATAAAACATTACGAGCAATATTCAATTTGTCACGAACTTCATACCCTAAATTTATAGAAAAAATAAAAACTAATATATGGTGCCTCACATGGGCCACTTAGGAGGAGTCGACTGCATCCGTAACAACTTGTCCTTTTCCCGTCACGATATAAAAATAACAACGGGGTGAGCCGAGGCTCGGTAAGTAGGATGATTCACGTGATATGCAATGAAGTTTTTTTCCCATTCTACCCATCGATTTTTAATTCGAGTACCCTAGGTATTAGCAAGTCCGTGCGTTCTAACTCTCGGTGATCGTATTATCACCTATCGCTCTATTACTCTTTTCTCGGTGATCTCAATATCACCTATCGCTCGCAGTGGAATTATCCCTCATTGTAGCACACGGTTAGCGAAATTATCCATCGCTTAATGGTGTTAGTAAATAGAGCTCACACTATGGATCCCTTGCTATTATCCATTCCATCCAATTCGGTTATAAAGCCGTGTCATTTTATGACTCAATGATTTTTCTCAATTTATTCCACCCTCAATGCACGTGATGACATGTTTAATCACATTCAACCAAACTCGGATACCAACCCTTCTTTCTCAAGCCATACTCACGATTCAACCAACACTCAAGATTTACCCGTCGCTTACATACCAATCATGGTACTCATAGCGAGAACACAACCTCCGCTCATTAATATTGTTTATTAGTTTCATTAATATTTAAAAGAAGGTCTAAATCTTTTTCTTATTTCATGTAACCCCCGTGAAATTTTTACACATGTTAAAATGTTTCTAAACATATTTATATGGAGTATAAGTAATAGTATGGATGGGTTCAAAAGAGTTTTTTTTTAATGACGGTATGTTCGAAGATTACGTCGAAAATAACGAGAGAAAACATTTCGGATAATTTAAGTAATTATCCTTTGGGGTATTTCTAAGTGTTTGGAATGCATGATAATGATAAGAAATTTATTTTACAATTTTAGGAACATTGGGATTTTATTTGGAAAAATTTCCGAATTAATTAAAAGAACTTTTTCGAAATGTAGAGCTAGATTCTATCCAAAGTTTGCATGATTTATTTGAGGACCTTAGAATGATTTCTGGGTAAAACTCAAAGAATGAAAGTTGTTCCTTTACGTGTTGACTAGCTCTCTATAAACTTTTATAATGTTTGGACCTATACATTCAGACTTATGTCCATTATGGTGAGGGTCGTTTTGAAATATACTCGCTGGAATTTCGGAAAAGAACTTCGAAAATCTCAAAATAGAAATTTCATAATTATATATATATAAACCAATTTGGAATGAGTTATCTGGGACCAAGTTAGACACCTAGACTCACTTATTAATTACACTTGATGACTCCTTATTTCTTTTAAGCTAAACAAGCCACATACCCTCCCTAATCACCATTTACTTTCCACCTTGGTTCATTATTTTAAGACACTTGTACCATGAAATAATTGAAATGAAAGCTAGTATATAAGCTGCAAAAGTGTGATATATGGTTGATTTTGGGAGTGAAAACCGTAGATTACCACAAAAAGGGGGAGAAACCAATTGTGAGGGAGTGAAACACGACAAAATAGAGGAAAGAAAGGAAAGAAAAAGAGAAAGGGAAAACGGGAAGGAAAAGAGCTAAGGAAATTCTAATCAAACCTAAACTAAGTAGGTTCCATTTTTTGGTTGATTAATGTCTTAAATTATTTTTTAAAGTTATTTTGTTAGTGTTTATTTCATGGGTTTGTAATAATTTTCAATGGTTATATGCTTGATGTTGGGATGAATCTATATATGGATGTCTTATTGTGATGATTTATGGTGTTTTGAAAAATGTCCAAGTATGTAGTGATGGGTTAAATTGGACTTGAACTAAATTTAAGTGAAGTAAAACATGTTTAAAGTTGGCTTGGAATGAACTAATAAATTAGTGTTGATGAGGAGTAAATTCCGTCCGAATTTTGGGGTGCATGTTCAAGGATTTTAGGTCGATTTCTAGGTGAAACTTAAAGAATAAAAGTTGTTCATCTATGTTTCAAGTAACTTTCTTTAAGATTTCTTGGTCGTTAGATTCGTGTACAAAGAGTTATACCCGATTTAGAATAGACAACTCTAGACAAACTGCTACTAGGCGCATTACTCCCTAAGTTTCAAAATTTTTAATTAATTGTGTACTTGGTATTTAGACCTAATTTTTGGATATGTTATAAATAAATATGTCTAGTATTTAAAATAAAATGGGTAAGATTTAATTATATTTTGAAATTGAAAGATTATTTATTTGATTAGGAGTTGCCCGGTAGTAAACCCTAAAACCCAATAATTAGACTTTGACAAAATTTATGGGTGGAGATAAAATAAAATAGAATTGGATAAAGTCAATGGACTTCGGATTAAGTTAAGAAGCTTGGATAAAGTTAATGGGCCCGGAATAAATTAAATAGACTTGGACTAAAATCAAAAGGCTTGGTTTTAAAGTAGATGGGCTTAGACTAAAAGAAATGGGCTTGGACTAAAATAAGTGGACTTAGATAGAAATAAAAGGGATTTGAAAATTCTAAAGAAAATTTATTCTTTTAGAGAGGAAATAAGGAAAAGATTTGGACCTTCTTTTAAATATTAATGAAACTAATGAACAATATTAATGAGCGAGATGTTGTGTTCTCGCTATGAGTACTATGACTGGTATGTGAGCGACGGGTGAATCCCGAGTGTTGGTTGAACCGTGACTATGACTTGAGAAAGAAGGGTTGGTACCGAGTTTGGTTGAATGTGATTAAATATGTCATCACGTGTATTAGAGGTGGAATAAATTAAGAAAAATCATTGAGTCATGAAATGACACGGTTTAGTAACCGAATTGAGTGGAATGGGTAATAGCAAGGAATCCATAGTGCGAGCTCTATTTACTAACACCGTTCAGCGAGGGATAATTTCGGTAACCGTGTGCTACAACGAGGGATAATTTCGTTGCGAGCAGTAGGTGATATTGAGATCACCGAGAAAGAGTAATAGAGCAAGTAGGTGATAATACGATCACCGAGAGTTGGAACGCACGAGCTTGCTAATACCCTAGGTACTCGAATAAAAAATGGATGAGTAGAATGGAAAACAAAAACTTCATTGCATATCACGTGCATCACCCTACTTACCGAGCTTCGGCTCACCCCGTTGTTATTTTTATGTCGTGACAAGAAAAGGACAAGTTGGTACGGATGCGGCTGGCTCCTCCTAATTGGCCTATGTGAGGCACTATATATTAGTTTTTATTTTGTCCGTAAATTTGGGATATGGAGTTCGTGACAAATTGAATATTGCTCGCAATGTTTTATTAATGTATTTAATTATATTATGTAAATTTTATCTTAAAGAGTAATATGCTCGTTAAAGTTTCAAGAATATTATAAGAGAATTACTTAGAGGTTAACGTAACGTGCTTCGTCCGGTACCCTACTTGACTAGTAGAAATGTGACTAGGACGGGGGCGTTATATGTTTGCTAACTCTTATAGCTGATACATATGATTATGTTTACCAAATAACTTTTTTGGCAGAGAATGAAAGTATTGGTTCTCTTGTAGAGCTTAAAAGTTCATGCAGGGAAAAAGGAAAACAAATTAAATGTTGTTAGTTTTTAGCAATAATAAATGTAAGTGAGGGAGGCCATCTTTGAATCCAAAATCCACGAGTCCGTTAGTGTCCGTAAATTGTTATTTCCTTATTAGTTTTCTGCATTTATTCCAATTTGTTATTTTCACAACCATATTGCTCTGTGATAATGTATTTACAGGTTCTCTGAAGTCGCTGAGCTGAGGTATGTGTTTTGGCTTGAAATAACGGCGAGGATAGAGACGAAAATTTTGTCTCCAAAAACAACCTATGCAGCTTACTTTGTGTTTAAGTTCACTGATTCCAAACGTGGTTTTAATAAGAAACCTGTTGAACTGAGTGTCAAATTTGAAGGAAGTGTGGATGGGGAAAAGCGCAATGTGCTCCTCGATGTCTCTCCAGAGAATGATATGCCACAACTGCCTCAAGAGAGAGGTGATGGGTGGATGGAGGTTGAGATGGGTGAGTTTTTCAATGAAAATGGAGATGATGGCATGGTGGTGTCTAGTCTAAGGGAGGTTGATAATTACATCACTAAGCATGGCCTCATTGTTGAAGGAATCGAGTTTAGGCCTAAAGCGGGTATATAAATTCCTAACCTCTATATTAATGCTGTGACAATGATAAACATCATTTGTATCAAACAACTTCTTCTGTCAGCATTTGGCCTCAAAGTCCATCTAGTAAATTATGTCCAGCCTGTATTCTAGCCAGTTCTTCTTCAGATGTATATGTTTGTAGAGGTTGATTACGTGGTAGTTAATTTTTCAGATATATATATATATTCTTGATGACTTTGTATTCCTGAAAGCTATAATGACTGAACTTTATTTTTGTTTCAAAAACGTTTACGGATACTATAATTCTGTTGAATTCCTTAGGCTTGGTTCTTTTGTGTGGAAAAATTTCTAAAATACCTCTAGACAAATTTGCAATGTAGCCTAATCCTTATTTTTGTTTATTAAATGCATGGAGTTTTGTCTCTATATCTACCACTACAACTGGGTTTAGAGAGCACAATTTTACTGGTGGGTTCTTTGAATAGAAGACTTTCGTGCTGATGTTGGGCTTAATTAACAGTAAATATTTTGGGGGAACTGTTTGTTTTCACTTGGATTGTGTGTTTTTAGGGATTTAGTTGGTATACAAGCAAAAACTGAGCCAGGTATGGTTCATTGATGGCTGGGTGGAGGTGATTTTTTGTTATTGGGTGTAGGAGTTCATTTTGAGATTATGAGAAGGGAATTGAAAACTTATTCACTTGATTCAGTCAATGATGTTGCCTTCCATAGTTCCCTTTTTATTTTGATACTGCCTTATGATTCAAAGAGGCCGTCAACAATGGGAAGCCAATAATTCAATACTGAATATACCGGATTGAAGTTTATTAGAGTTTGATGTTTGGATATAGAATGTCGTGGAGGGTTATAATAAATTAAAATAATAGTATAAGGACGTATTGATCTAAATCAATATAATATAGGGATAATTTAGGGTTTTAACTCAACAAATATTTATGGTAGCAGTAGCGTTCGGCCCTTTTTTCTTGATATTTTCAATATATTCCTTTGTTAAGTTTATTCTATACTCATTCGTAAAAACAAAAAGTATTTTATAGGATTGTTGATAATGTGGTTTCTTTGTCCACTGTTATTTTTTTTAATTTGTTTTCTTGTCATAAACACATGTAGTAAACTAATAAAAACACCCGTAGTAGAAGATAAAAATGCCGGACTCTTAAGTATAAAATAGGGTAGGGATGAATTTAATTAAAAATATACTAGAAGGATCACTTCAATATAAGTCATGAGTGGAGCCGTACGGAGATCCTTCCAAAAGAAATCAGGACCTGAGAGATAGGATGAAAGGACCGAATCCTTAACAATTATTTATTACTTTTCAATCCCGAGAATCCGAACCAAGTCAATCTCTTAATCCATAACCTAATATATACGGTAAGGAACCACCCCAACGGGCCAAACCCATATTCGCCTGGCTTTAAAGAACTTCCTATCGAGAGTATTGTTAAATTCATTATATATTTTGTTATTTTTATTATTTTTTATTATAAATTACTGATAAATTTTTATATTAATTATTTTTTAGTTACTAACTTGGTGTGATAATAATAAATTAGTAATTTATAACAAAAATCTTGATAGAAATAATAAAATATATAGTTTCTTTAATAGGATTCCTTCAATAATTCATTTAGTTACTTTAATTCTCAAATAAAACTTATTTTAGTCTTCATATTTAATATTTCTCTTGAGAATAAGTCTTTCGACCGGAAGTTTTTTGGCGTCCTTTTTGACGAATTCGTGCACTCTTTTTGACGAATTCATCCGCAAAGAATTTTCTTCGTCTTTTCATAATGTACGCGTCGACAGGTTTACTTTGCGCTGTTAAATATTCTTTATCTTTTTATAATGTCGTCGGAAGGTTTGTTTGTCCGTGTTAGAATATCTAAATCTGTGGTCTAAAGAAGACAAGAAAGATGGATATGTCCAAAGTTTTGCCAGACGAGTGCCTAGCGCATATCATCTCCTTAACATCGCCGCAGGATGCGTGTCGATTTGCACTGGTCTCTCATAACTGCCAATCAGCTGCCGATTCTGATGTCGTTTGGGAAGGATTTCTGCCGTCCAAATATCTTGAGATCGTATCCAGCACTACATCATCCTCACAGCTAACTTCTTTATCCAAGAAGAAACTTTATCTCCATCTTTGTAATAACCCCATCCTTATCAACAATGGTATCATGGTAAGGAAGAATCTGCTTTACCTGTGTTGTAGAATTAATGCATAAATTATGCTTTATTGGCTCCTAATTTATTTGTAATCCAATCCATTTTTTATTTTTTCTTGCGAAATATGTAGTAGTATTTGAATTTTGGGCATTGATTTCAACTAGGTCTTTGAATTAGTCAAAGTTGTTTCTGTGTACTTCATCTGTGGTGGAGTTGAGTAGCTTAATTAGTTGCATATGTTTAGGAGGTTTCGCTAATCATGTTTTCGTGGAGCAGTGGTTTTTTTTCCTGCTCTCCTGTTTTACTCTGATGATTTTAGATATTCCTTCTTTTTTTTTTCCCTCCTTACTTGAAACAGAGCTTTGCACTAGAGAAGCAAAGTGGGAAAAAATGTTACATGGTTGGAGCAAGAGGACTTTCAATTATTTGGGGAAATAGTCCTGACTATTGGACATGGAAACCCTTACCATACCAGTCTAGGTTTGTTCTATCTCTTCCTCTCAGTTTACTGATATATATTTATATAGTCATGTTTACCAAATGATATTTTGAACATAGCTAGTCATGAACTAAATGAGGTTCTTCGACATATGCATCTAACCATTAAGCAGCGTTGATCTGCATCACGAGTTCTGCGTTTCTTAATCCCAACCCCAATCGCTTATTTGCTAACTCTATTGTGTTCCAATGGTCATAAAAGGTTATAATTTCCTAATGCCTAGTAATTTAACATAACTTTAGTCTGTGACTAGCTCCTTGTTTTCTTCTTGAACCATATCTATAGGAAATTTCCTCCAATGAACTTGCTAGACTCTATGTTTACTGACTCCTGTAGCTGATGCATATGATTATGTTTACCAAATAACTTTTTCTGGCAGAGAAGGAAAACATTTCTTTCTTGTAGAACTTAAAAGCTCATGGATGGAAAAAAGAAAAGAAATTAAATGTTGTTTGTTTTCTGCAATAATTAATGTAAGTGAAGGAGGCCATCTTCCCATCCAAAATCCATGAATCCATTAGTGTACACAGTAAATCTTTTATTTCCTTTTTAGTTTTTTTGCATTAATTCCAAATTGTTATTTCACAACCATATTGCTCTGTGACAATGCATTTATAGGTTCTCTGAAGTGGCTGAGCTTAGGTTTGTGTGGTGGCTCCATATCAGGGGGTGGATAGAGACTAAAATTTTGTCTCTGAAAACAACCTATGCGGCTTACTTTGTGTTTAAGTTCACTGATTACAAATCTGGTTTTAGTGAGAGACCTGTTGAACTGAGTGTCAATTTTGAAGGAAGTTTGGGAGGAGAAAATCGCCATGTGTTCCTCGATGTCCCTCCAGAGTTTGATACGCCACGACCGCCTCGGGAGAGAGGTGATGGGTGGATGGAGATTGAGATGGGTGAGTTTTTCAATGACAATGGAGATAATGGCAGTGTGGTGTGTGGTCTAAGGGAGGTTGATGATTACACCTCTAAGCATGGTCTCATTGTTGAAGGAATAGAGTTTAGGCCTAAAGAGGGTAGATAATTCCTAAGCTCTATATTAATGCTGTGAAAATGGTCAGTATAATTTTTATCATACAACTCCTCAGCTTTTGGCTCCGATGTCCGTAAAATAAATTCTGTACTACGTGTATTCTGGCCAGTCCTGCTTCCAATATATATGTTTGTAGAGGTTGATTACGTGGTATAGTTAATTTGTTCAGATAGCTTGGTAACTCGATAGCAAAAGCCCTTGGCCATTGTTCAGATTTTGTTTTACGTGCTTTTATGAGTTTGTATTCTTGAAAGCTTAAATGATTCAACTTTATCTTTTTGTTTCAAAAACGTTCGTGTACTGTAATTTGTTCTGTATTTTATATTTACATAAAAACATTGAGACTACAATTATTTTTTATTAGCATGTTTAACATTATCCCGTGATGAGGTTGTAAACCATGAAAGATGATATGATTCTTTCATAGTTGGTCCGAAGGTGGTTTCTGCTGTTTGGTTGTGGTTATGATGGTTGGAATCCTTGCAAAATAAGTCATTCTGTTTGCAAGTCATTCTGGTTAGATGGATAATTCTTAGACAATCAAGTGTAGTGTAAGAAGAGGAAGTGTTAGTCTAAAAAGATTGTGATGCAAGTATTCTTGTAGTATTAAAAAGAAGATGAACAATGGTAAAAAGAGACGAGATTTTTAATCCTTACCATTAGGCTTCATGATTGATTTTATATCCACGAGACTTGTCAAGCTGCTTCGAGAGGGGGTAGAATTGTTTTTTTTACTACCAATAATTTTTGGTATTGACTAGAAGATAAATGTTTCTAATATTGATGGGTTACTTTTGAACACATATGATGGTATTGTGATTATTGTCAATTGGACAAAAGTGAATTTGAAGGTGTGTATTTATTTAATGACCATATTATATCTGTCTTTAGTAAGTAGAGGGTAACTCTAATTTTCTGAGCCATAGCTGGACGAAATCCTTCTACTAAGGAGGAGTGTTCTTCATCGATATTGTGGCTTTGACAGTTACTTGTCTGAGATTATATCCATCTGCATGTATATAAAAAGAAAAGTATTTTTATCGGTTATTTGTTAATTTTTGTAAAAATTTGTGAGGTCTTTAAGCTATACACGTATCATTTGAATATATCAATTTATTCATTTCATTAGTTACTAAAGTTCAATTTCCATTATTGACTATGTTATTACCTAGTCATTTTACTTAAAAGACAAAAAAATTGCAAATAAAAAATAAATCGAAATTAAGTAAAAAGGGGAGGGAGAGAGAGAGAGAGACCAGGCCCACACCGGTGGTCTTAGATTTGGTCCAAGTTCATGCTACGGTCAAGTCCCAGCGCATTATCTGCATGCAGGATGATTAGCCCAAATTTCACGATTTGAAGAAATCATTTTGGTTAGACCTCTTACTTTACTTCATCCAACAAAACAACGCAATCCAACAACACGCAATTCCACTGCATTCTGTTCATTGAATTTCTTGCGACGGAACTCTTGCAAGCTCTAGGAAGTTAGTATTTTACAGTAATTGCAATTCCACTTCGATTCTTCCAAAACACCTTCTTGCCAAGTAGATTTGAAGCATTTATACCAATATTATATCACGTAAGGGCCTGGGCCTGGAAAAACTACTTATTGTGCTTATGTTTATTCATATACTACCTTTTGGAACTCATTATGTATTCCATCCCCATCTACTAAACAAAACCTAAGGAAAAAAAAGAATTCATGGAAAAGTATTTGCTTTTATGCATCTTTGGCGACGAAATTGTTCGTTTTTCCATTAACCAAAGGTTAAGATGACAGAGCATGGAGCGACAAAATTAAAGGTGGAAGTTTATCTTGCCTTGGCATATATAAATATGAGAAATTTCAATGACCTAGATTGTTATCCTTATATTGTTTGAAATTTGCAAGGGAGAACACCAACACTAATGCTTAGCTAGTTTAGCTGAGGAAGAAGAGTGACGGAGTACATGAATAATAATTTCCAAGATATTTGTAATTCTACTAGTTTTTCAGTTTTTTTTTTTTTTTTTTGAAAAAAATAAGATTGAATTGGAAACCACTACGAAAATAATGAACAATTTTAATCTTTTTTTTATAATAAAGTTTTTTTAAAAAAAAATTCAAATACTCTAAAAGAAAGATTTGAATTTCTGACTTTGCAAGTATGAGGAAGTTTATTACTACTAGATTAAAAGTCTATTGATTTTTAATATTTTTATTATTTAATATATTTTTCTGATTGTAATACATATTTGCAATAATTAGCATTTTATTAATATTGGAATTTTGTCATAATTAACATTTTGTTTCCTATTTTAGTTAATGTCCTGGTTTTACAATTCATAAAGCTATATTGTAAAGCTTAATCCGTTGAATGCAGGTAAATTTAATTAAATTATTATATTGTTGTTTTTTAATTCTTAAGGAATGATATTATATTGAATTTTCCACATGATTGCTGCACTTTGTAACTCAACTAAATCATTACTAATGGAAAAAAACTAGAATGCAGCCGCCGGCAGTGGCGGATCCACGTTGTCTTCTACAGGGGCCCGGGCCCCACTCCAAGTGTTTTTTTCCCCCCTCTGTACAGTTATAACTTGGCCCAAATGCTTCTGACTTTTTTTTTTTTTTTTCCCTGTTCATGCTATAACATATCATTTTGCCCTATTTTAGTATCATAAGGACTGTAAAATGTGCCACATGGATCCCTGTCCAGAGCCCACCTTCCTTCTAAAGAAAAATCAAATGCGCTTCTATGGATTCCAGACTTGTATGTTGCCACCAAGATTTGTCGTGCGAGTTCGTAAATGGTTGCGAGACACGTGCCAACATCTTGTGGCTCTTTCGATAAAGGGCCAAGGCCTGCAGTTTCTAAGGATTATAGTTTTTGGTCATTCAATGATCATGGTGGGCATGATGGGCATGATGCCATGTAGGTTTGGCATTCTAGCGTCGAAATAAAAATAAAAAATGTGATGATATAGATAAGGTTTTTTTTTTTTTTTCCTTATGTTTAATACATGTGAAAATGTGTATTTATGATGAACATATTTTGTTTACTTGAAAATAGAATATTTTTACTAATCTTTTAAATAAAAATGAATAAATTATAAGAGAGATTTACGACATATAATAGAGAATAGAATGATAAAATTTTAATTACTTTTAAGATGAATCTTTTAAAATAGAGAGAATTTAATTTATTAAACTAATTTGTGTGTCAATAAAAACTAATTTTCTCTCTAAAATATTTTTAAAGCATTTTTTATATTATTTTGATTTATTTAGAAGAATGTTAATTTTCTCTGGATAATCATACTTATCCTTAGGAGTTATTTAGAAGAATTTGAGCATTTTAATCATATATAAAATCTTTCTAATTTTAAAACATTGTCAACTATATTTGATTTGTGCCAATGGATAATAAAGACAAAAAAATTTAAAAGTTATTCACTTATGTATAGAGTGATAACAATTATTCTTACTCTTTCAGTTTCTATTGCTATCACGGAGCGAGTCATTTTTAGCTATGAGTATAGTCAAAATTAAGATTCGTAATAAAATGAAAAATGACTTTCTTTTCGATTATTTATCCATGTATATTGAAAAAAATTACTGAAAATTTTAGTATGGATTCGCTTGTAGATAATTTTCATGATTTGAACGAATGAAAATCTTTATTTTGAGTAATTGTATTTTGAGACTATTTAAAAATATATATTGATATGTTATTTATAATACATATAATTTTGTGTAAAGTATGAAAAATTTATAAATATTTATTTTGGCTCGTGGATATTTGGTATTGCGTGCGTCATCTAATGAAGGTATGTTTGTTTTGAAACACGACTTGTAAAAAAACAATATTGTTGATTTAAAACAAAACAGGGTAACTTATGTTTTTAAACAAAAGCAAAGCAATTTATGTTATTTTTCGAGTAAAAATACAATTTTTTTTTTAAAGTACAACATTTAGTCATTCAACTTTTACTAATGCTAATTTCATCTTGCAGGGCAGCAGAGCGTAGCAGCACAACACACCCATGCCAATTATACCTTTTGTCTAGTCGCTTAAGTGGGCGGATTTTCGTCTCTGTCTCTTTGTTCTTGTGGATTCAGGAAAAACGCCTTGTGGATTAAAGGGCAAATTTGGCTAACGGATTCAGGTATTTGTTTCTATCACTTTAATTTCTGTTCAGAGAGTTCTTCTGCTTCAATCCTCTATGTTTTCAGTCTGTCCCGTACGTCTCTTGGTAACCCGAAGGAAAGAACGTCACCTCTCCAAAATTGTTGAAGTGAGTGAAAATAATTTAAATTAAAAATGACATAATAATCTAGTGCAGGATAAAAATGAAAATAATTCCTTTTTAATTGTTTTATTTGTTTTATGTAATACAAAACATTGAACTCAAAATTAATAATAAGACTTAGAATTTAACACGTCTTATTCTATGGGAGGATACAAACGCCTTGTGGATTTGAATTATTTCATAATCTTAAAAATATATAACCTGTTATATTTCAAATTTCTTCATTAATTTTGAATTTAATAATTTAAATTATGTGAGACAAATAAACTACTAATTACTTAAATTATTTTTACCGTATATTAAATCATTACCACTTACTTTATTTTGTACCCAATTAATCGGATTGTAGCTAGCTGTATTTAGAAAGGCTAAGCTTAAAATAAGGGAACAAAGTTTGTTGCAACGAATCTAAAAAATAGAAAGAAATTGTGGACCACATTGACCCATCAAACTCAATGTCGTTTTCCTTTCTTCAACATGAAATCTCTAGTTTGATAGAAGAAATTCAATCAAGAGACGAAAAAACATCTCTATATATGTTGCAATAAAAACAATGTTTTTTCTGAGGAAAGCACCAATACTACAACATTTATAACATGGCAACCTCAGCAAAACCTAAAGGGAAGACTTTGTCATCACAAGCATCGACCGCTGGCCGTCCCCAACAGGCTGTGAAGTTTGCAAGCCGGACA